CATCGCTGAGTGGGAAGGTAACGTGGACAGGAAGATGGTGGCGATGCACTCACATGTTTCATGCTCACACAGAATTCCTGGTACTTGCCATCCACCTCGTGAGGCTACAAACCCACACTTGTCGACAGCTGCCCACTCCCACCGCTAGGCGGGCTCCAGGCCTGCTTCACGTCATCCAGCCTGGCCCACCCCCACCATTGACGGATGGGCCTTCAGCCTCTCTGCCATGTTCTCTGGAACTCCATCCCGCAGACCCTCTGCCTCGACTCCTCCCTTGCCTCCTTTAAAACCTGTTTCCAGACCCTCCCCTTTGACAGCGCCTCCGATCATCCTCCTAACCCTCCCCTCCCCGCCCTCCATCCTCCTGATCCCAACCACCTGTTCGGGTGCAGGTCCTGACTGTCCAGCAGCTCGTGACGTCCTCCTGACGCTAAAGGTTTCGTGTAAATGCAATTTGCTGCTGTTGTCAAATTAGTGACTAACCTGTTTGGACAGGTTGGGGCCGCGGGGGAGGACTAGCTGTGCCAGTCGGGGCTTCAGGGCTGCTTCCTTCCCTTGAAAGAGATATGGAGAGAGATCTGGGGGGTGGGGGGGGAACGTGGGGACTGAGCCTCCGCTAACGCTAGCCAACCACCAACTCTTTGATGGAGACTTTGGTCACCTCGCTTTCCGGATCAGCATCAAGCTGCACTGCTGTTAAGGTCCGAGATGCTTCCAGCGTGAAGGTCACTGTGTAAGGGGAAGAACAACAACAAGTTGCATTTACATATCGCCATCACACAGGGCAGCGTCTGGCACTGAACAGCGGTGGAGCCTGAGGGTGGAGGGGTGGGGTGGGGGGGGGAGGGGGGGGCTGACAGTAAGCTCGGTCAAAAAGGAAGGTCTTCAGGAGTGATCTGAAAAAAAGGGGATGGAGGGGAGAGGGAGAGAGTTCCAATGTTTCAGGTCGTAGAGGCGGAAAGCGTGGCTGCCATCCGTGGAGCGGATAATAATAATAATAATAATCCTTGCATTTGATATAGCGCTTTTCACGTCGGGGGAGGACGTCCCAAAGCGCTTCACAGAACACACTGTAAAGCGAATTGACTATATTTGTGGGGATGTCTCTGTGCGCAAATTGGCTGCCGCGTTTCGCCCACAAACTGCTTACAGTCACAGTCAGTGTCCTCGTCTCCTGTGAAGCCTTAAGACACTTCCCTGATGTGGAAGGTGCTGTGCAAAGTGCGTGGATCAGTGCTGTTTATTTATTGACGACATTTCTTTCCGGTGTGTCAGCCTGGCTCAGTGGTTGTGCGCTCTCTTTCTCTCTCTCTCTCTCTCTCTCTCTCTCTCTCGCCTCAGAGCCAGAAAGTTGTGGGTTCGAGCCCCACGTCGAGAATTGGGATCGCAGTCTAAGCTGACGCTCCAGTGTGGCGCTGGGGGGGGGTTTGCATTATCAGAGGTGCCGTCCTTTGGGTGAGACGTTAAATCGAGGCGTGTTCAGGTGGATGGTAAAGATCCCGCGACTCTATTCGAATGGAGGAGGGAGTTTTTCTTTCTCTCCCGATGTCCTGGCCAACAGTTCCCCCAGTTAAATATTGGTCACTTGCCCCATGGCTGTTTGGGGGGCTCCGCAGTCGCTACGTTTTCGACCGTTAGAGCCGGGCCCATTTAGGAGTGAAATCAGGAGCAGTTTTTCACCCAAAGGTCAGTGGGAAACTGGAACTCTCTTCCCCAAAAGGCTGTGGGTTATTGCTGGTTCCACTCACATCTTCAAGACTGAGGTGGATAGATGTTCGTTAGGTCGGGGTATTAAGGGATACGGAGCAACAGGATACGGGTGATCGGAGTTGAGCTACAGATCAGCCACGATCTTCTGGAACGGCGGAACAGGCTCGAGGGGCTGAATGGCCTCCTCCTGTTTCTATTCCGCAGCGAATCCCGTGAAGGGCTTTTGTCCTGCCGATGCGACGAGGCCCTGTACCAAATGCGAAGGACTATTATCATCACCATCACTGTTAAGAAACGGCTCAGGAAAAAAAAGAGGAACCCTGGAGCCCAGACGCTATTACCTCGGGGAGGTGCGGCAGTCGTCGTGTCCGGCTGGAGGAGGTGGTGGTGGCGGTGGTGGTGGTGGTGGTGGTGGGGTGGGGGGTTGGGAATTGATTGACGCTTCAGGGAACGATTTTGTCCAAAGCATCAGTCATGAAGCTTATTTTTATCCCACTTCATACGTGCTCGCTGTGGGCGGCGGCGAGGAGGGGGCGGGCTGAGAGCTTTCAGACACTTTCGTTTTTAAAAGCGTTGCGAGCCGCACGTCAGAGGCTATTTTGGAATTCCTTTAATGCACCAAAATTGGTAGCGTTTAAGGTGTGAATCCACGAGCAGCAGGAACCGGCGCTCGGCCCCTCAGACAACACAGATTCTCAACCAGCTTTCCTCTCTCTCTCTCTCTCTCTCTCTCTCTCTCTCGGACTTCCCAACACAAGCTCTGGCTGGGACTCCGAGGGGCAGAGGAGGAAGGGGGAGGCGGGGGGGTTGGGGCGGGGGGAGAGGGTGGGTCTCCTTTTCAAATAGCCCCACGGAGATCTTTTGCCGTCTCGCCCAAAGGCTGTGGGCATCTCGGGTAACGCCGCCGCCTTCTCTCTCCGCTTAGCGTTGCGCCGCACGCGCAGCCTTTTCCAATCAGAGGCGAGAGGGCGAGCGACTGAGCCGCCCTGACGCGCGGCGGCGGCGGCGGCGGCGACGGCGCGCGGCGAAAGAGCAAAATAATTAGACGAGCGCGGAAAAGAACCGGAAAGGTTCCCTCACGGTCTGCCTCGCTCTGTCGTTTCCTTACCAAACCACATGCTCAGGCTGAGGTTTACGCTTTCTCTCGCCTCTCGCGCTCTCTCTCTCTCTCTCTCGCTCTCTGTTCCTAGTCTCTCTCTCTCTCTCTCTCTCTCTCGCTCTCTCTCAGTTACTGATCTCTCGCTCTCTCTCTCGCGCTCTCTGTCTCTCTCTCTCTCTCTCTGTGTGTTACTCATCTCGCTCTTTCTCTCACTGTTACTGATCGCTTTCTCTCTCCATTACTCATCTCTCTCTCATTGATACTGATCTCTCTCTCTCTCTCCGTTGCTGATCTTTCTCTCTCTCTGTTCCTTCTCTCTCTCTCTCTCTCTGTTCCTGATCTCTCTCTCTGTTCCTGATCTCTCTCTCTCTCTCTCTCTGTTCCTGATCTCTCTCTCTCTCTCTCTCTGTTCCTGATCTCTTTCTCTCTCTGTGTTCTTGATCTCTCTCTCTCTCTCTCTGTGTTCCTGATCTCTCACTCTCTCTCTCTGTTCCTGATCTCTCTCTCTCTGTGTCTGATCTCTCTCTCTCTCTTTCTCTCTCTGTTCCTGATCTCTGTTCCTGATCTCTCACTCTCTCTCTCTGTTCCTGATCTCTTTCTCTCTCTCTGTTCCTGATCTCTCTCTCTCTCTCTGTTGCTGATCTCTCTCTCTCTGTTCCTGATCTCTCTCTCTCTCTCTCTGTTCCTGATCTCTCTCTCTCTCTGTCCCTGATCTCTCTCTGTCCTGATCTCTCTCTCTCTCTCTCTCTCTCTGTCCTGATCTCTCTCTCCCCTGATCTCTCTCTCCCCTGATCTCTCTCTGTCCTGATCTCTCTCTCTCTCTCTCTCTGTCCTGATCTCTCTCTCCCCTGATCTCTCTCTCTCCCCTGATCTCCCTCTCTCTGTCCTGATCTCTCTCTCTCTCTCTCTGTCCTGATCTCTCTCTCTCTCCCCTGATCTCTCTCTCCCCTGATCTCCCTCTCTCTGTCCTGATCTCTCTCGCTCGCTGGCTGATCACTGATGGGACGGTTTGCAGTCCTGTCAGGGCAATGATACCCTTCCTCAGTGCCTGGTATCATCGTCAGCTTCTCCCTGAACCTGGCTCCGAGGGTCAGACCGACCGAGTCAGTGTGTGTGCGACAGGCAGCGTGTGTGTGAGACAGGCAGCGTGTGTGTGTGTGTGCGACAGGCGGAGTGCGTATGTGTGTGTGACAGGCGGAGTGCGCGTGTGTGAGAGACAGGCGGAGTACATGTGTGTATGAGACAGGCGGAGTGTCTGTGTGTGTGTGTGAGAGACAGGCGGAGTGTGTGTGTCACGGGGACTGTGTCTGATGGGGAATGTGCGCGGGGCGGGGAGTGTGTGTGAGACGGTTTGTGGTGCGACAGGAAGCGTATGTGTGACAGGTGGAGTGTGTCTGACAGGGAGTCTGTGTGTGTGATGGGGAGTGTGTCTGTAGCAGAGTGTGTGACGTGAGGCGAGTGAATGACGGGGAGTGTGTGTGATAGGCAGTGTCTGTGTCGCTCTGTGTCTGTGTCTGTTCTGTGTTGCTCTGTGTCTATGTCGCTCTGTGTCGCTCTGTGTCTGTGTCGCTCTGTGCCTGTTCTGTGTCGCTCTGTGTCTGTGTCGCTCTGTGTCGCTCTGTGTCTGTGTCGCTCTGTGTCTGTGTCTGTGTTGCTCTGTGTTGCTCTGTGTCTGTGTTGCTCTGTGCCTATGTCGCTCTGTGTCGCTCTGTGTTTGTTCACTCTGTGTCTGTGTGGCTCTGTGTCTGTTCTGTGTTGCTCTGTGTCTGTGTTGCTCTGTGTCTGTGTTGCTCTGTGCCTATGTCGCTCTGTGTCACTCTGTGTCTGTGTCTGTGTTGCTCTGTGTCTGCGTTGCTCCGTCTGGGTCTGTGTTGCTCTGTATCTGTGTCTGTATCTGTGCTGCTCTATGTCTGTGTCGCTCTGTATCTGTGTCTGTGTCGCTCCGTGTCTGGGTCTGTGTTGCTCTGTGTCTGCATCTGTGTCTGTGTTGCTCTGTGTCTGTGTCGCTCTGTGTCACTCTGTGTCTGCATCTGTGTCCGTGTTGCTCTGTGTCTGCGTCTGTGTTGCTCTGTGTCTGTGTTGCTCTGTGTCTGTGTTGCTCTGTGTCTGTGTTGCTCTGTGTCTGTGTAACTCTGTGTCTGTGTCTATGTCTGTGTTGCTCTGATCTGATAACCCTCCTCTGACCCCACAGCAGGGCTTCCTGAGCCGGAGACTGAAAGGCTCCATCAAACGGACCAAGAGCCAACCCAAGCTGGACCGCACCAGCAGCTTCCGGCACATTCTGCCCCGCTTCCGGAGTGCGGATCATGACCGGTAAGTCAACACTGCCCAGACGCTGGCCCAGACACCCGAGGGCCCAGACACCCGAGGGCCCAGACACCCGAGGGCCCAGACACCCGAGGGCCCAGACACCCGAGGGCCCAGACACCCGAGGGCCCAGACACCCGAGGGCCCAGACACCCGAGGGCCCAGAGTCTGGTCCAGACACCTGAGGGACCAGACTCTGGCCCAGACACCCGAGGGCCCAGACACCCGAGGGCCCGGGCACCCGAGGGTCCAGACACTGGCCCAGACACCCGAGGACCCAGACACCCGAGGGCCCGGGCACCTGAGGGCCCAGACACCCGAGGGCCCGGGCACCCGAGGGCCCAGACACCCGAGGGCCCGGGCACCTGAGAGCCCAGACACCCGAGGGCCCAGACGCTGGCCAAGACACCCGAGGGCCCAGACACCCGAGGGCCCAGACACTGGCCCAGACACCCGAGGGCCCAGACACCCGAGGGCCCAGACACCCGAGGGCCCAGAGTCTGGCCCAGACACCCAAGGGCCCAGACACCCGAGGGCCCGGGCACCCGAGGGCCCAGACACCCGAGGGCCCAGACACCCGAGGGCCCGGGCACCCGAGGGCCCAGACACCCGAGGGCCCAGACACCCGAGGGCCCAGACACCCGAGGGCCCAGACACCCGAGGGCCCAGACACCCGAGGGCCCAGACACCGAGGGCCCAGACACCCAGAGGGCCCAGGGCACCCGAGGGCCCGGATACCCGAGGGCCCAGGCACCCGAGGGCCCAGACACCCGAGGGCCCGGCACCCGAGGGCCCGGATACCCGAGGGCCCAGACACCCGAGGGGCCCAGAGTCTGGTCCAGACACCTGAGGGACCAGACTCTGGCCCAGACACCGAGGGCCCAGACACCCGAGGGCCCAGGCACCCGAGGGCCCAGACACCCGAGGGCCCAGACACCCGAGGGCGGGTGAACTTTGACCCGTGGATTGATTAGTGACAATCTCTCAACTGTACCTCAGAAACAGTGTTTGGGATCAATCTCAGTCTGTGTCTGTGTCTGTGTCTGAGTCTGTCTGTGTCTGTGTCTGTGTCTGTGTCTGAGTCTGTGTCTGTGTTTTTGTCTGTATTCGTGTCTATGTTTGTGTCTGTGTTTGTATTTGTGTCTGTGTTTGTATTTCTATCTGTGTCTGTGTTTGTGTCTGTGTTTGTATTTGCGTCTGTGTTTGTGTCTGTGTTTGTATTTGTTTGTGTCTGTGTCTGTGTTTGTGTCTGTGTTTGTATTTGCGTCTGTGTTTGTGTCTGTGTTTGTATTTGTATCTGTGTTTGTGTCTACGTTTGTGTTTGTATTTGTGTCTGTGTTTGTGTCTGTGTTTGTATTCGTGTTTGTATTTGCGTCTATGTTTGTGTCTATGTTTGTGTCTGTGTTTGTGTCTGTGTTTGTATTTGTGTCTGTGTTTGTATTCGTGTTTGTATTTGTGTCTGTGTCTGTGTCTATGTCTGTGTTTGTGTCTGTGTTTGTGTCTGTGTTTGTGTCTGTGTTTGTGTCTGTGTTTGTGTCTGTGTCTGTGTTTGTGTCTGTGTTTGTGTTTGTGTTTGTGTCTGTGTCTGTGTTTGTGTTTGTGTTTGTGTCTGTGTTTGTGTCTGTGTCTGTGTCTGTGTTTGTGTTTGTGTTTGTGTCTGTGTCTGTGTCTGTGTCTGTGTTTGTGTCTGTGTCTGTGTTTGTGTCTGTGTTATCCACCAAGTGAAATGTTGTGGGGGTTTCCTCGCTCCCTCCGCCCCTGTTTACAGCAGTGAGTAAGAACCCGGTCGTTAGTCAATTGGTGGATCACTTTTCAGGGATAATAATTCCTTCCGAGTAATAATAATAAATTGTTCACATCAGTTGAGAGTGTCTGTGGGGACACTCGCTGCGCGCAATTGTCCGCCACGTTTCGCCCACAAAATATACAGTCAATTCACTTTACAGTATAGTCTGTGAAGCGCTTTGAGACGTCTCGAGAGCCAGGATGGGATATTGCCTGTTGCTGGTCCACCGTGAGTTGGTTCCTGTTGAAATCTCCCTTCCTCGCTGCCTATGCCCGGGATTATTAAGTTTATTAATAGTTTACTGTTTGTGGACCCTGTGCCTCCAGTTAATCTTTAACTTAACTTTTGATATAAATTGACCTTTTTGCCTGAACACTTGGCTCGGTGTCGCTGTACAGTCACTGAGCTCAGCTCAACCCTCTCTTCCCCACCCTCTTTCTTTCTCTCTCTCTCTCCCTCCCCCCCTCTCTCTTTCCCTCCCCCTCTGTATCCCTCCCCCTCTCTATCCCTCCCTTTCTCTCCCCACTCTCTCTCTCTCTCTCTCCCCACTCTCTCTCTGGTCCTCCCCCTCCCACTCTCTCTCTCCCTCCCTCCCTTCCTTCCTCCCACTCTCTCTTCCTCCCTCCCTCCCTCCCACTCTCCCTCCCTCCCTCCCACCCACTCTCTCTCCCTCCCTCCCTCCCTCCCTCCCTCTCGCCCTCCCTCCCCACATTTTCTGTCTTTCTCCACCTCTCTCTCACCCCACCCGCGCTCCCTCTCCCTCCTTCCCTCCTTCCCTCCTTCCTTCCCTCCCTCCCTCACTCCCTCCTTCCCTCCCTCCCTCCCTCCCTCATTCCATCCCTCCCCACGCTTTTTGTCTTTCCCCATCTCTCTGTGTCTCTCCCATTCTGTCTGTCACTTGTTCATTCGAGGATGTGTACAAATTTGTCGGTGTCTCTCCCCAATCTCTTTTCTCTCCACACGCTCTCTCTCTCTCACTCAACCCAGTCTCTCTCTCTTCTCTCCCGACAATCCCTCCCCCTCTTTCTCTCCCCCTCTCTCATAGAGGATACCCCCCCCCCCCTCTCCATCTCATTTTCTCTCTTTTCCCAACTCTCTCTCTCGCTTTACCCTCTGCCCTCACTCACGCCCGACGCCCGCCCGATGCATGAAGGAAAAAGGAGCAGAGCGGTGTATCTGCGCGTGTGTGTTTGCGTGTGTATGCATGCGTGTGCATATGTGTGCGCCTGTGCGCTTGTGGGGGGTGGGGGTGGTGTGAAGAGGGTAAGGGGTTATGTGGAGTGTAAACCCCGGTAATAGACGAGATGAGAGGGTGAGGGACTGAGCCAGGCCGACAGTGTTCCTATTTTTACAGATGTTCCCAGCCCGGGCCAAATGGTGTCAGCCCCCGGCTCGGTCACCGAACTCTCGCCTCCGAGTCAGGAGGTTGTGGGTTCGAGCCCCACATCGGGACTTGGACTCGCACAGTCTAAGCCGACATCCCAGTGGAGCACTTTGGGGGGGTTGTTGCATTGTCGGAGACGCCGTCCTTCGGACAAGACATTAGACTGAGGTCCCGTCTGCCTGGTCAGGCGGGTGTTAAAGATCCCGCTGTGCTGTTTAGAAAGAGAAGGGAATTTCTCTCTCTCTCTCTCTCTCTCTCTCTACACCGCTGTCCTGGCCAAGAATCCGTCAGATAAAATTGGTTGCTTGCCCCGTGGCTGTTTGAGGGGCACTGCTGTGCGCAAACTGATTGCTGCGTTTCACCCACAAAATGCACAGTCACTACGCCTTACAGTGTATCCTGTGAATCGCACGAAACATCTTGACGTCGTATCAAATAAATTTATTATCCTCTGTGTCACTCAACTGCAGGCTCGTTTTTATCCCTGTCACCCTCTCTTTCTCCACTCCACTCCACACTCTCACTCTCTCGTTTTCTCTCATTCTTTCACGCATTCACTTTCTCAATCTCAATCTCTCTCAATCTCTCTCACTCACTCATTCTCTCCCTCGCACTCTCTCATTCCCTCCCACACACTCTTTCTCCCACTCTCTTGTTCGCTCTCTCACACACTCTTTCTCTCTCACACACTCATTCTCTCACACATGGCCTGACTCTCACACACTCTCTCGCTCTCGCTCACACTCACATTCACACACTCTCTTGCACTCCCTCGCCTGCTCTCTCGCACGCTCATCCTCTTTCACACTTTCATTCTCACACTCTCATCCGCAGTCTCACTTTCACACACTCATTCTCCTTCACACGCAGTCTCTCTATTACACACTCTCTCACACACTCATTCTTTCTCACACTCTCCGTCGCTCGCGCTCTCTCTCACACTCATTCTCTCTCTCTCATTCTCTCACACACTATCTCACTCCCTCGCTCGCGCTCTCACACACTCACTCTCTCTCTCTCTCTCTCTCTCTCTCAGAACCCGGCTGATGCAGAGCTTCAAGGAGTCTCACTCTCACGAGTCGCTGCTCAGCCCGAGCAGCGCAGCTGAGGCACTGGAGCTCAGTATCGATGAGGACGCCATCATCAAACCCGTCCACAGCAGCATCCTGGGCCAGGAGTTCTGCTTTGAGGTCAGGCTTCACTGTCTGTAACCCACGGGGCACGGAGCGGGGATTGTGCATGGACAGTGCAGCGGGAGCTTTACTGTGTCTCTAACCGTGACCGCTGAGTGTGGATGGACAGGGCAGCGGGAGCTTTACTGTGTCTCTAACCGTGACCTCCGAGTGTGGATGGACTGTGCAGCGGGAGCTTTACTGTGTCTCTAACCGTGACCGCTGAGTGTGGATGGACTGTGCAGCGGGAGCTTTACTGTGTCTAACCGTGACCGCTGAGTGTGGATGGACAGGGCAGCGGGAGCTTTACTGTGTCTCTAACCGTGACCGCTGAGTGTGGATGGACAGTGCAGCGGGAGCTTTACTGTGTCTCTAACCGTGACCGCTGAGTGTGGATGGACTGTGCAGCGGGAGCTTTACTGTGTCTCTAACCGTGACCGCTGAGTGTGGATGGACAGGGCAGCGGGAGCTTTACTGTGTCTCTAACCGTGACCGCTGAGTGTGGATGGACTGTGCAGCGGGAGCTTTACTGTGTCTCTAACCGTGACCTGAGTGTGGATGGACAGGCAGCGGGAGCTTTACTGTGTCTCTAACCGTGACCGCTGAGTGTGGATGGACAGTGCAGCGGGAGCTTTACTGTGTCTCTAACCGTGACCACTGAGTGTGGATGGACAGGGCAGCGGGAGCTTTACTGTGTCTCTAACCGTGACCGCTGAGTGTGGATGGACAGTGCAGCGGGAGCTTTACTCTGTTTCTAGGCTGTGAGTGACTATGTTGGTTTGCTGTGTTGTTCTAACTGTGTTGAGTTGTTCTGGGCTGGGTTGAGCTGGGCTGAGCCGGGCTGAGCTGTGCTGGTTTGAGCTGGCCTGGTTTGAGTTAGCCTGAGCTGGGGCTGTGCTGGTCTGAACCGGGTTGAATTGTGCTGGGTTGAACTGGCCTATGCTGGGTTGTGCTGGTCTGTGGTGGGCTGAGCTGGGTTGAGCTGTGCTGAGCTAGGTTGAACTGGGCCGTACTAGCCTGTCCTCCATTGAGCTGGGCCGTGCTGGGTTGAGCTGGGCTTTGCTGGGTTGAGCTGGGATTTTCTGGGTTCAGCTGGGCTATGCTGGGTTGAGCTGCGCTGTGCTGGGTTAAGTTGGGTTGTGCTGAGTTGAGCTGGGGTGAGCCGGGTTCAGCTGGGCTGAGCCGGGCTGAGCTGGGTTGAGCTGGGCTGTTCTGGGGTGAGCCGAGTTGAACTGGGGTGAGCTGGGCTGTGCTAGTCTGTGCTGGGTTGAGCTGGGCTGTGCTGAGCTGAGCTGTGCTGGATGGAGCTTGGCTGAGCTGTATTGAGCTGAGCTGTACAAGGTGGAGGTGTACTGGGCGGGGCCGAGCTGCACTGGTCTGTGCTGAGTTGAGCTGCACTGTGCTGGGTTGTGCCGGGCTGTGCTGAATTGAGCTGGGTTGAGGTATGGTGGGGTGTGCTGGGATGGACTGGCTTGAGATGGGCTGTGCTGGTTTGAGCTGGGCTGTGCTGGGTTGAGCTTTGCTAGATTGTGTTGGGTTGAGACGGGCTGTGCTGGGTTGAGCTGTGCTGTGTTGGGTTGAGACAAGGTGTACTGGGCTGAACTGGGTTGAGCTGGACTGGGTTTAGCTGGGTTGAGGTTTGCTGGGCTGTGCTGAGTTGAGACGGGCTGTGCTGAGTTGAGCTGGGCTGAGCTTTGCTGGGCTATGCTGGGTGGAGCTGGGCTGTGCTGGGTTGAGCTGGGCTGAGCTTTGCTGGGCTATGCTGGGTTGAGCTGGGTTGAGCTGGGCTATGCTGGGTTGAGCTGGGTTGAGCTGGTTTGTGCAGGGTTAAGCTGGACTGTGCTGTGTTGAACTGCGCTCTGCTGGGTTGAGTTGGGTTGAGCTGGGTTCAGCTTTGCTGGCATGGGGTTCACTGAGTTGTGCTGTGCTAATTTCAGCTGGGTTGAGTTGGATTTTACTGAGATATGATGGGCTGTGTTGCCCTGTGCTGGGTTGAACTGGGCTGTTCTGTATTGGTTTGACCTGAGTTGGGTGTTCTGGTTGGAGTTGGGGGTTGTGCTGGAATGAGTGGCCTGGAGCGGACGACTGGTTCACCTGATTGCCAATGGCTATTGTGTATCTGCGCGTGTGTGTTTGCGTGTGTATGCATGTTTGTGCATATGTGTGTGTGTGTGTCATGTGTATGTTGAGTGTGCGCGTATGAAACCACCCCGTGCTCCCTCGACCCCCCTCCTTGCCTCCCAGCTCCACCTCCGTGCCCCCTACTCACAGACCTCATCAACCTCTCCCTGTCCATTGGCACCATTCCCACCCCTTCAAAAACGACCTTCTTCTCAAACAACCTTCCTTGGAGCCATCCCGTTTTCCCCAATTACTGCCCCATTTCCGAACCCCTCTTTCTTTTGCAACGTCACCGAACGAGTTGTTTGCTTCCCGGCTTTGACCCTCAACTGTTCTTTCTACCCCACATCCGTGCCATGGCCCGCTCTGCCTTCTCCCACCTCTGCAATGTCGCCCGGCTCCACCGCTGCCTCACTCTTCAGGCTGTGAAAGCCCCATCCACGCACTCATCACGTCCAGGCTTGACAACACCAACTTGGCTGGTCGGCCTCCCCAACTCCCCAACTCCCCAACTCCCCAACTCTTCCCCCCACAGGCTGCAAGTCATCCAGAACTCCGAAGCTCTCGTCCTCTCCCGCACCGGGCTCCGTGACCCCATCGCCCCCACCCTCGCCCCGGCTCCACTGGGCTCCCCATCCCCCAGAGGATAGAGTTCAAAATCCTCGTCCTCACCTTCAGTGCCCTCCACGGCCTTGTCTCTCCCCCCCCCCCCTCCCCAACCTCTGTGATCTGCTGACCCCATGATAGCCTGTCCGCTCCCTCCGCTCAGCTGGCTTCAGCCTGCTCCACGTCCTCCGTCCGGCCCGCCCCACTGTAGGCGGTTGGACCTGCAGCCACTCTGCCCCCACCCTGTGGATCTCCACCCCACAGTCCCTTTGCTTTGCTTCCTTCCTTGCCTCCTTCAAGGCCCGTCTCAAGACCCTCCTCTTCAACCGTGACGTGAAAGGCACTTTACAAATGTAATTTTGTATTGTATTGCCTGTGTCTGTGTGTGTCTGCGTGTGCTCGTGCGCGTGTGTTTGTACGTGTGTGTGTGTGTATGTACGTGGTGCGCGCGTGTGTATGTTTGCGTGTGTATGCCCATAGCACACAAACTGCTCTGGTCAAGGTCACAAACGACATCCTGACCATGTGTGATGGTCTCCTCTGCCTCCTCGTCCTCCTCGACCTCTCCGCTGTCTTTGACACTGCGGACCATTCATTCCTCCTCCACCGCCTCTCCTCCCACCTCAACCTTCAAGGTTCTGTCCTTGACCGGTTCAGGTCCTACCCTTTTACGCCACCCCCTCTTCGTCACAGTAAACGGCTTCTCCTCCAGCCCCCGCACTGTCTCGTGCGGCGTTCCTCAGGGCTCTGTCCTCGGTCCCCTCCTCTTCACCCTCTACATGCTCCCCCTTGCTGACATCGTCCAGAGGCAGGGGGTAAATTTCCACATGTATGTGGGTGACACCCAACTCTACCTCTCTGCCTCCACCCTGAACTCCAGGACTACTGGTGTCCTGACCGACTGCCTGTCCGACATCCAAGTCCTGGACAAGGGACAACTTTCTCCAACTCAACGTCAACAAGACCAAGGCCTCCTGATTGGCTTGTGCCAACGCCTCCGCACCTCAGGCGCTGGCAGCTGCACGGCTACACACTCCACCTCACTAAGCCGGTCAGGAACCTGGGTGTCTTGTTTGACCCTAAACTGTCCTTTCTCCCCCACATCCGCGCCATGACTGGCACTGCCTACCACCACCTCCGCAACATTGCCAGACTCCGCCACTGCCTCACCCCTCAGGCTGCCCAAACCCTCACCCACACATTCGTCACCTCAAGGCTCGATTACGGGAACTCCCTCCTCATCGGTCTTCCCACCTCTTCCCTTCACAAACTGCAGATCATCCACATCTCTGCAGCTCGTGTACTCTCGCGCACCAGGCTCCGCGACCCCATCACTCCCACCCTCGCCCGACTCTACTGGCTCCCCATCCCCCAGAGGATCGAGTTCAAGATCCTCATCCACACCTTTAATGCCATCCATGGCTTTGCCCCCTCCTACCTCTCTGACCTGCTGACTCCCTACCAACCTGCCCGCTCCCTCCGTTCAGCTCCATGTCTCCTGCCCTACCATCGGTGTCCGAGCTTTCAGCCTCTTTGCCCCCACACTCTGGAACTCCAACCCACGGTCTCTTCGACTCGCTTCCTCCCTTGCCTCCTTCAAGCCGATCTCAAGAACTTTCTCTTTGAGGTGCCTTCAGTCGCCCTCCCACCTCGCTCCCTTCCCTCACCCCTACCCCACCCCTCCTCCATGCTCAGGCCCTAATCCCTGAATGTTCAGCACTTTGGGACGTCCTCCCGACATGAAAGGTGCTCTATAAATGTAATTTTGTTGTTGTGTCTGTGTGTGTTTGCGTGTGCTCCGTGGCGTGTGTGTGACCGATCTCCTTTTTTCCCAGGTGACCACACCGTCCAGTACTAAGTGTTTTGCCTGCCGGTCGGGGGCCGAGAGAGACAAATGGATCGAGAACCTGCAGCGGGCGGTGAAACCCAACAAGGTGGGTGTCTGAGCTCTATCTCTCTGAGCCAACCCGAGGCCTTCGTGTCCTGTTCGACCCTTAACTGCCCTTCATACTCACATCCGTGCCTCGATCATCCTGCCTTCCCTCACCTCCGCACCATCGCCTGGCTCCTCTACTGCCTCACCCCTTAGACCACCAAAATCCTCACCCACGCATTGATCACATCCAGGCTCAACAACCCAAACTCCCTACTTGTTGGCCTCACCAACTCCTCCCTCCACAGGCTGCAGATCATCCAGAATTCTGCAACTCATGTCCTCTTCCGCATCAGGCTCAGCAATCCTATCACCCCATCCTCGCCCGGCTCCACTGGCTTCCCATTTCCGAGGGGATAGAGTTTTAGATCCTCGTCCTCACCTTTAAAGCCCTCCATGGTCTTGCTTCCCCCCTACATCTGCTAACTTTACCCCTCTTGACTCCAACCCCCAGCTCAGGTGCAAAATATTCACTGTCCAGCGCCTTGGGACAACCTCCCAACGTGAAAGGCACTTTGTAAGTTAATTTGTTGTTGTTGTTTAACAAAACTGTGTAGAGGCACCGGGTTATTTTCAGTGATGGGTCAGTGAGACCAATACCATGTCATAGATCAATCGGATGTCCCTGAAATAGCTACTCTCTGAGGGAGGCTGATGTTTTGTTCCCCAGTTATTTTGTCAAGCCATTTCTGAATAGTCTTATTAACAGTCCCCAGTTGCACTGATGATTATAGGAACTATGTTTGCTTTATACTACATCATATAGCCACAATCAAGATATTTCCTGATCTTCTCTAGTTCCTTATTTCTTGCGTTGTAATCACTTGGGATTGCCACATCCACAATAGGACTTATCATTATTACAATAAAACTCACAGAAGTCATAGAATCATTCAATCATAGAATATTACAGCACAGAACTAGGCCATTCGGCGCTTGTGCCTGTGCCGGCTCTTTGGAAGAGCCACCCAATCAGTCCCACTCCCCCGCCCTTCCCCCTTATCTTTGCAATTTTTTTCCTTTCAAGTACCTGTCTGATTCCCTTTTGAAAGTTGTTATTGAATCTGCCTCCACCGCCCTTTGAGGCAATGCATTCCCGACCGTGACAACTTGTAAAATTGTCAATTATCTTAAATCTATGTGCCCTGGTTACCAACCCACTCAGGAAACAGTTTGTCCCTATCTACTCTAGCAAAACCCCTCATAGTTTTGAACACCTCTATTAAATCTCCCCTTCACTTTCTCTGCTCCAAGAAGGCCAATCCCAGCTTCTCTAGTCTCTCCACAGACCTAAAGTCCCTCATCCAGGTACCATTCTGGTGAACCTCCTCTGCACCCTCTCCAATCCCTGATATCCTTCCCAAAGTGCGGTGCTCGGAACTGAACACAGTCTCTAGCTGAGGCCTAACAATAACAACAAGAAATTTACATTTATGGAGCGCCTTTCACGTTGGGAGGACGCCCCAATGTGCTTTATAAGTGACATATGAAGATTTAGCAGAGTTTCCTTACTTTTGTATTCTATGCCTCTATTTTTAAACACAAGAATACACTTTTTTAACAGCTGTATTAGCCTGTCCTGCCAGCTTCAACGATCAGTGTACGTGAACCCCACGTCTCTCTGCTCCCTACCCCTCTGCCCTGTTTACCCCACAACCCACTGCCTCCTCTCGACTGGCTCCAGCCTTCTGCATGTCCCTCATGCCCTCCGTTCCACCACTGGTGGCTGCGCTTTCAACTCTCCCTCTTCCTCTATTCCTCCGCTTTGCACTTTCCTTCCCCATCTTCAGGTCGTACCTTCCTATTTGACCGTGCTGCCCCCCAGCTCGGCTTCGTACTCCACCACTGTCAGGTGCTCTGGTGCTCTGCTGCCCTGTGTGAGAGTTGCATCAATGCAAGTTGTTGTTGTTGTTCTCGTTATAAGTCTTATAAATTGTAGAAAGACCAAAGTCCTACATCCACCTGAGTCCCATTCAGTTTCCTATCAAAACCACTCAGAATTCTTTGCACAAGTTGTATTAATCCCCTCCGACCTTGTGTCGCCACTCCCCAACTCTCCATTACTCCCGCACTTAACTATCTGCATTGAATCATACACGGGAAACATAGCCTTGACCCTTCGCTGCTTGTGCAATTACCGGTTGCAATGAATCACACCTTGGCAGCGTAGATTATTGATTAAATCGGGTTTCATACGACTAAAATATTTTGCCAGTAACCCGGACTTTGTAATTCACATTAAATATTATGGTCCTGACTGATACGGCTTATACTAGTGATAATAACCTTTGCATTTGGTGTAGAGTTTAACATGTCTTCGAGACGTCTCAAAGCATTTCACCAAATATACTGACTATATACTATATACAACATACTATAATTGAATTGACGAAACACGACAGCCAATTATGCACAGTAGTGACCCACAAACAGTTGTGGATTGAATGACCAATTTTTTCGTTTCAAGGGATTATTACCCCCAGAAGAGCGATCTACCAATCGACTAACAACCAGGTTCCTACTTACTGCTGAGTAAACAGAGGCGTGTGTGGAGTAAGGAAACTTGCCCAACGTTTCGCCCTGCTCAGGAATTGAACCCAAGTCCTCTCGCTTGCGAGGCAAGTGCTCCAACCACTGAGCTACAGGACTCCACTGATACGACTGATTATTATCATTATTTGCTGTATTTGACTCTCTCCCTCCGCTCCTATCTCAGGACAACAGTCGCCGTGTGGACAATGTGCTGAAACTCTGGATCATCGAAGGCAAGGACCTGCCTCCGAAGAAGCGCTATTACTGCGAGCTGTGTCTGGACGAGATGCTGTACGCTCGCACCACCAGCAAGGTGAAGACCGACAACGTGTTCTGGGGCGAGCACTTCGAGTTCAACAACCTGCCAGCCGTACGCAACATCCGCATCCACCTGTACAAGGACACGGAGAAGAAGAAGAGGAAGGAGAAGGGTAACTATGTGGGGCTGGTCAACATCCCCATCAGCAGCGTGAGCAGCCGGCAGTTCATCGAGCAGTGGTACCCGGTCAGCCAGCCCAGCTCCAGCAAAGCCAAGGCTGGTGGCCCCACCATCCGCATCAAGTCCCGTTACCAGAGCATGAGCATCCTCCCCATGGAGCTGTACAAGGAATTTGCTGAGTACGTCACCAACAACTATAAGATGCTGTGCGCGGTGCTCGAGCCTGTGCTGAGCGTCAAGAACAAAGAGGAGGTGGCGTGCGCCCTGGTCCATATCCTGCAGAGCACGGGCAAGGCAAAGGTGAGACATGGCAGCTTTTAGCAACAGGCACAGGCATGACACATCCATTTTAACCCTGCGGGTGATGTGAAGACTGACACCAATCTTAGATAAAAAATGTTTATTAATTCAGATTAATGATGGTTCTACATCGTTAAAAAATACAATACTGCGGCTGAAAATATTCTTTGGCGGGTGGATGAGTGGTGGGGGGGAGTGGAGGCTGAGTGGCCGGTCCCCCCTTAAGATGGGTACAGGTTCCCTGCCAGCTTCAAAGGTGACCAACGCCTCACCTCCTCCTCACCGCAGCTGAGGGCGAAGTGCGGCCATCTTTAAAACTATTAATGAATTCCCACCGTCCATAGTGCGGGAAAAAAGTCTCCTTATTTCACTTCTAAACGGTTTAGCCTCATATTGAAGACATGGCCGCTTTGAGGCTAAGCTAGGTCACGTTTGGAAGCCCTTTGTACCTTGCACACAAAATGTAGAGTCCTGCAGCTTAGTGGTTAGAGCACTCCCCTCGCAAGTGAGAGGACCTGGGGTCAATCCCCCAGATAAAATCACTCCTTCACTTACGGATGTTTGTGGATCAAACTGAGCAGAAACTGGCTGGAGCCAAAGGGGTTGTGGGAGGGGAAAGGTGACCGAAGACACGGTGTGAGAGGAAGGTCTTCAGACTACCTTGAATGAGCTGAGGGAAGGGGACTGTGAGGGGGGCACCGGGATGGAGTTCAACAAGGTGGGGGCAAAAAGCATGACTTCAGATTGTGGAGTGGGAAGGTCGGCGGGGGTCATAGAGCAGGCCAGTGCCTCCTGAGCAGTTTGATGGAGTCACAGAGGTGGAGTGGGGTGGGCGAGACTGTGGAAGGATTTAGAAGTGAGGAGGACACATAACTCAAAACACGTCAGCTGCAGCAACAACAAATTACACTTGTACAGTGCCCTTCCCGTTGGAAAGACGTCCCATGGCGCTAGACAATCAGGGGTTTTGGACCTGAGCTGGGAGATGGGGTCAGAAGGGGAGGAGGGCAGGGGGGTTGGGGATGGGAGTGTGGGAGCTACAGGGTAATTGGGGGAAAGGGCAGAGAAATGGGATTGAAAGGATCGCTCTTTACGGAACAGCAGCAACAACAAAATGACGTTTGCATAGCACCTTTCACGTCAAGAGGACTTCTCAAGGTGCTGGTCAGACATGATGGGCCAAATGGCCTTCTTCTGAGCTGTAAACTTCTAAGGTTCTGCGTATGCCGCCTACACACGGAACATTCCCTGTATCCGGAATGGAATGCATCCTCTCTCTCTTTTCAGACGGTTGGCACAGACACGATGTGCCAAATGGCCTCCTTCTGTGCTGTATAATTCTATGATTCTGTGATTCTCTCTCTCTCTCTCTCTCTCTCTGGAGGGATGCATCCTGCTTACCTAATCCTGGAGAGTATTAAGCGCAGGTTGTTGAGACTGCAGAGTGTGTGTTGGGGGGCAAATGCTCGAGTCTAACCGGCTAAAACCACACAGGAAATAAGAGTAAGAGATACCTGTTCTGGAAGAGAACTTGCAAAGGGGGAATCATAGGATTATACAGCACAGAAGGAGGCCATTCAGCCCATCGTGTCTGTGCCGGCTCTTTGAAAAGAGCTTCCAAATCAATCCCACTCCCCCGCCCTCTCCCCAAAGCCCTGCAAATTTGTCCTCCCCAAGTAATTATCTGCTTCTCTCTTAAAAGCTGTTATCAAATCGGCTTCCACCAGCCTTTCCGGCAATGCATTCCAGATCCTAACAACTCGCTGTGTGAAAAAAATTCTCCTCGCATCCCCTCTGTTCTTTTAACAACTGTTTTAAATCGGTGTCCTCAGGTTACTGGCCCACCCGCCAGTGGAAATAGTTTCTCCTTGTTCACTCTATTGAATCCCCTCATAATTTTGAAAACTTCTCTTATGTCTCCTCCTAACCTTCTATACGCCAAGGAGAGTAACCCAAGCTTCTCGAGCCTCTCCTGATAACTGAAGTCCATCATTCCTGGTACCGTCCTGGTAAATCTCCTTTGCACCCTCTCCAATGCCTTGACATCCTTCCTGAAGTGTGGTGCCCAGAACCCAACATAGTCTCCAGCTGAGGGGTAACCAATGTTTTAAAAAGGTTCATCAAAACTTCCTGACTTTTGTATTTTATGCCCCTATTTATAAAGCCTAGTATCCCGTAGCTTTTCTTTAAAAGCTTTATCTACCTGTCCTGCCGCCTTTAAAGATTTGTTTATACTCTCTGTTCCTTCACCCCCTTCTACCATCAACTTATATTGCCTCTCATTCTTTCTCCCAAAATGTCCCACCAGCCCCAGAACTAGTCACAATGTTCCAGGAACCTGAAACCCTCCTTTCTCCAGCCATGCATTCATGTGTTTGATCCTATTGTTTTGACACTCACTTGCATGAGGCACTGGGAGTAATCCAGAGATCACCACCTTTGAGGTCCTACTCTTTAGCATTTTCCCTAGTTTCTGATAGCCTCTTCCTGTAGGATCTCAGCCCTTTTGTTCACTACTTCATGGATCCCAACATGGACCACGACTTCTGGATGTTCCCCTTCCCCCTGTAGAACGTTTTGCACCCGTTCCATGGTGTCTTCAACAGTGGCACCAGGGAGGCAACATACCATATGAGAGTCATGTCTTTGGTCCAGAAACGCCTGTCTACTCCTTTCACCATTGTGTCCCCAATGACAATTGCATTGACACTTTTCCCTGTCCCCCCCCTGTACATTCATTTGGTTTTGACTCCCCTCCCCAGAGGTGTCATCACCCTGACTGGTATTCAGTACAGAGAACCGGTTTGTGAGTGCCACACTCTCAGGGGGATTTCTGCACTGCCTGTCCCCTCTTCCTACCATGTCGGGTGGTCACCAACTCACTCTCCTTCTGAACCCTCTGTGGCTGTGGGTTAACCACCTCATTAACTCTTCAGCCTCCCGTGTGCTATGTAGTGACACCAGCCTCTCCTCGAACTCAGAAACCCTGAGCTCAAGCAGCCGGAGGCATTTCATACACACGTGTTTGTCCGGGACACACAAAGCATCCTGGAACATTTCCACAGGAGTCCTCCCACTGAGTCTCCCTAACAGGAGTCCTCTCACAGGAGTCCTCCCATGTGTGCCCACATGGCACACATTGTGCATGCAACCGGTCTCAGCTGCCATGATATCTACTTTCCTGCATTCCAATCGACAGGACCCCTATTGGGAGATTCAGTGGGAGAACTCCTGCGGGAGGACTCAGTGGGAGGATTCCTGTGAGAGGACTCCTGGTTGTGAGGACTCCTGTTGTGAGGACTCCTCGTCTCCCAGAAGTGCATCCATGTGTGATGATCTTGTTTAGGTCAAAGCTCATCGACAATAGGAGATCCCTGAATAAAAATACGCACGTGACACTCCTATTTCTCTACGTCAATCGGCTTTTTCATTCTTGGCAGACACACAGACAGACACACAGACAGACACACAGACATCTTGTCTTCATCAGTGTAGATAATCCTTTAGTTTCATACAGCAACTTATCATGTTTCAAGATCTCTCAAAGCATTTCACAGGATTTATTGTAAAAAAGCACTTTGTTTTTGGGGGCAAAACCCGGCAGCCAATTTGCACAACAATGTCCAACAAATAGCCATGGAGTGAGTGACTGATTTTATTTGGGGGATTGTTGGCCGGGGCACCAGGAGAGAGAGAGAGAGAGAGAGAGAGAGAAAACTCTTCTCTTTTTGAATAACACCACGGGATCTTTAACACCGATCAGACACCGATTGATTTAACGTCTGAACTGAAGGACGGCACCTCCAACAGTGCAGTGCCCCCTCCCCTCACTCAGACGCTGCTGCTCCAATGCTGATCCAAGTCAAGACTAGGAGCTTAAACCCACAACTCACAAACCTCACAGGCCAGAGTGCTACCGACTCAGCAACGCTGACACACGCCTTGAAGCGCTTCACCGTGTTCACGGGGTGTGACTGTGTATTTTATTATAGGCAAACGTGGTGGTGAATTTGCACAGAGCAATGTCACACAAACAACAACAAATGACATTGTACACGTCACATCATGTCAGGAGGAAGTCCCAAAGCGCTGGTCAGTCAGGGATCCGGTGGTTGGGATCAGGAGAGGTGGAGGGCAGGGAGGGTAAGGGTAGAGGGTGCTCGAAGGCACGGTCGAAGAGGAGGGTCTTGAGGTGGAGACAAGGGAGGGAGAGAGGTGGAGCGACAGTGGAATGAAGTTCCAGAGGATGGGGGCAGAGAGGCTGAAGGCCCAACCACCAATGGAGGGGCAGGCAAACCGAGGGAAGTGACAGCCATGGAGAGAGCGACCAATTTTACCTGAGGGGGATTGCCGGCCAGGACACTGGGAGACAGAAACTTCCTTCTCTTTTTGGACAGTGCCGTGGAGATCTCTAACATCCAACGGGGTATGGAGGGGACCAGGCTGCTCCTTCCTGTGTGGAGCATCAGCCTGGACTGTGAGATCAATGTCCAACAACCTACAGAAAAAGAGTGCTTACAACTGAGCTGGGATGACCCCTGATTTTGCCTTGTAGGTTAATGTGCGGGCAGACCCACACACAGTGGGTGTGGAGCTGAGAGGGAGATGACATTCTGAATGAGGGGAGAAGGCAGGATGTGTCAGCCTGGCTCAGTGGTAGCCCTCTTACACCAAGGCTCCGTGACCCTATCACCCCCATCCTCTCCCGGCTCCACTGGCTCCCCATCACTCAGACGATACAGTTCAAGATCCTGGTCCTCACCTCCAAAGCTCTCCAGGGCCTTGCTCCTACCTCTGTGACCTTCTAATCCTCTACCAACCTGTCCGCTCCCTTCACTCAGCGGACTCCGGGCTGTTTCACTTTGCCCAATCCACCATTGGCGGGCAGGCCTTCAGCCTCTCTGCCCCTACCCTCTGGAACTCCAGCCCTCCACCTCGCCCCCTCCCTTGCCTCCTTCGAGGCCCGCCTTAAGACCCTCCTCTTCGACCCTCCTACCCCTACCCCTCCCCACCCTCCACCCCGCCTGATCCCAACCACCAGCTCAGGTGCAGATCCCTGACTGTCCAGGGCCTTGGGACGTCCTCTTGATGTGAAAGGCGCCGGACAAATCACTTTGTTGCTGTTGTCAGATGTGTGTTGCATTGTCAGAGATGCCGTCCTTCAGATGAGATGTTAAACCTCACTCACTGTCTCTAATGTCCACCCTGCGGCACTATCGGAAAAGAAAAGGGAGTTCCCTTTCTCTCCCGATGTCCTGGCCGACGATCTCCCAGAATAAAACTGGTCGTTCACCGGCTGTTTGTGGGACGCTGCTGTGCACAGTGCGCTGTTGCGTGTTGCCTACAAAAAAGTACCGTCAATTCACTTCACACTATACCCCATGAAGTGCTTTGAGACGCGATAAGGCGCTGTATCAAATGCAAGGATTATTATTATTTCTGTGTGTACGTGTCTGCGTGCAGACTGGACCCCTGACCCCAACTGACCCGTCACTGGTGGAGCCAGGAGAGAGAGGTTCCAGTCAATTTACCGGGGAAATAAGATGGGAATGCAGGAATTGTTGACTTTGATATTCTGGGAATATCCTCCCTTCCCTCCACCACGCACATACCCACACACATCCCTCACACGACCCTCACACACCACTCACACACGCACCACACACGTTCCTCACCACACTTTCCCCCTACCCACCCACACCCCTCACCACCCCCCCCACACACATTCCCACACACACCCCTCCCCCCTCCCCCATGCACGCACGTCTCACCCCCCCCCCCCCCGCCGCACGCCCCACACACCCCGTTTATCCCCGCTCACACACACACACACACTCGCCCCTCAACTCCCCCGCCCCCCACACACTCCCACACACACCCTCCTCACCCCCATGGGCACACAAACATAAAATTGGAGTCATTTCCTGTTATTGTTTCCCTTATCAACTGCTTCAAATAAAGAAATGAATCTCAGACGCCAGGCAGCGCGTGCACACCACACGCACAGGAATTAACCCTCCCACCACTCCTCCCCTTCAACACCAGCCTGTCCATCCACACTGCACGGCATTAACCCTCCCTTCACTGCCAGCGATATCAAATGCAAGGATTATTATTATATTATAGCTAATAATGATAATAATCCTTGCGTTTAATAGATCGCCTTATCACAACGTTGAGATGTCTCAAAGCACTTCACAGAATATACTATAAAATGAATTGACTGTATATTTTGTGTGTGAAACGCAGCAGCCAATTGCTCACAGCAGCGTCCCACAAACAGTCGTAGATTGAGTGACCAAATTATTATTCTTATTTTACCATCCTTTGGATGAGACTTTAAGCCTCACTTGCCTTTCAGGTGGGCATTAAAGATCCCACGGGGCTATTCAAAAAAAAGGGAGCTTCTGTATCTCAGTGTCCTGGCTGACAATCTCCCCAAATAAAATGTTAGTCACTTCATGGCTATTTGCGGGGAAGTGGCTGTGCCCAGATTGGCTTTGGCTACAAAACATACCGTGACTGCACATCACAGTGAAGTACTATGAGAAGTGATAAGGTTCTATCGAATGGAAGATTATTATTATGACACCCCCCAGCCTCAGTTGTTCTGATGCTCTCCTTGGTGGTCTCCCCAGCTCCACTATAAACAAGGTCCAAGTAGTACAGAACTCTGCCACCCATGTCCTCACTCGTACCAGGCTCTGTAACCCCATCACCGCAGTCTTTGCTAGGCTCCGATGGCTTCCTGTTGCAAAATGCACCGGTTTCAAGATGCTCGCACTCACCTACAAGTACTTCACACCCTGGCAGCTCCCTGCCTCTCTGACCCCACTCCACCACCCACCCATTTCACTCAGCCTTCTCTGGGCTCCTGCACGTCCCTCATCCCCTCCACTCTGCCGTCAGTGGCCATGCTTTCAGCCACCTTGAAACTCTGGCACAACCACATCAATGCCTCCATCTTGTACGTCTTCAAATCACACCCGAAGACCTTACTCTTCGACCGTGCCGACATTTACCTCTCTCCAATCCTCCCCCAGCTTTAGTTGAGTTGGGTTCAAACCATGCAGCTGTTATATGATCTCAGACACTACCCCCTGTGAAGGGCTCTATATAACTGCAACTTGTTAGTAGTGTTATTTTTGTATTATTATGTGGTATGAGGGATTGAGTGCAGTGTGAAGATGACTGTGGGTTCTGAACTCTCCCACTCTCCATGTTGTTACAGGACTTCCTCTCTGACATGGCCATGACAGAGGTTGACCGCTTTGCTGACCGTGAGCATTTAATATTTCGTGAGAACACCTTGGCGACCAAGGCAATTGAGGAATACCTAAAGCTGATTGGTCAGAAATATCTCAAGGACGCTATTGGTAGGTTGGTGTCCGTGACGGCTGCACTCACAACCGACACTCCACTTACACAGGGTCTGTATTCCATGTTGCTGTGTGACATTTCTACCCGTGGGGTCTGCAGAGCTCGCCCATCTCCGCGGCCAGTGGGGCAAGTGATCCGTCCATGGATGTAGGATGAGGCAAGGGGGATGATGAAAGCAACAGGGGAAGGGTATGGTGGTGGTGTTCATGGGAGTTAGAAAGAATATGGAGAGGGTTAGGTTGCATTCAGGTGGGTTGGATTTGGATTCAGTTGGGTTAGGTTGAGTTGAGTTGTATCGGGTTTTTTTTAGGTTAAATTGGGTTGAGTTGGGGTAGAGTTGGGTTGGGTTGAGGGTTGGATGGAGTTGGGTTAGGTTGAGTTGAGTTGGGTTTGGATGGGTTGGTTGGGTGAGTTGTGTTGAGTTGGGTTGGATTAAATTGGGATGAGTTGAGTTGGGCTGAGTTGGCTTGGGAATTGGGTTGGGTTGAATTGGTTTGAGTTGGATTGGATTGCATTGGGTTGAGTTGGGGATTGAGTTGGGTTGATTTCAGTTGGGTTTGAGTTGGGTTGGTTGAGTGAGTTGGGTTGAGTTGTGTTAAGTTGGGATGGGGTTGAGTTAGGTTAGGGATTGGGTTGATTTGAGTTTGGGCTAAATTGGGTTGGTTTAAGCTGAGTTGGGTTGTGTTGGGTTGGATTGAGTTTGGTTGAGTTGAGGTGGGTTAGCTTGGGTTGAGTTGGGGTTGGGTTGGGTTTAGGTGGATTGAGCTGGGATGGATTGGGGTTGAGTTGAGCTGGGTTGAGTTCAGTTGGGTTGAGTTTAATTGAGTTAGGTTTGGGTTGAGATGGGTTGGGATAAATTGGGTTGGATTGCGGTGGGCTTGGGAATTGAGTCGGGTTGGGGTTAAGTTGCGTTGAGTTGGATTGAGGTGGGTTGGATTGCATTGGGTTGGTTTGGGATTAGGGAATGAGTTGGGTTTGGTTGATTTGGGTTGAGTTTGAGTTAGGTTGGGAATTCTTTGCTTGGGTGAGATAGGTTGAGTTGATTTGGTTCAAATTGGGTTGGATTAACTTGGGTTGAGTTGGGTTGGGATTGGGTTGGGGTTGAGTTGGGATGGATTGGGGTTAAATTGGGTTGAGTTGGGCTGGGGATTGAGTTGGGTTGAGGTAGATTGGACTGGTTGGTTGAGTTAGGTCAAGTTGCATTGGGTTTGGGTTGCGTTGGGTTAGTTTAGTTGGATAGAGGAAGGTCTAGCAAAGGTGTAGCTCATAATAATAGGGGAGATTCACCGGGAAAGGTATACATGAGTCTTGGTGGGGGAGGTGACTGGGGAAGGTCTGGTCATTGGCAAGCTCTGCTGTACTTCTATTGAATCGTGTCCGTGGTTAACCATTTCACCTTCCATCTCCAATTAAACGTGCTTTACTTGAACACGCTAGAGGGGCCTTTTTACAACGATTGTCCCAGGGAATCCAAACCAGAGCCAGAGAGCTCAGATGAACCAAGGAGAGAGAGATCTCGATTTGCTTGGTCCTGGAAATTTCTTCTCAGAAAAGCAACAGGTTCTCATAGGCAGAAGGGGACAACAACCTATTTAAAACACTCTCAGGGTTTTTTTTCTGTCTCTGTCTCTTATCTCCTAACCTTTCTCTTTCTGTCCCTTTCCTGCTCACTCAGTATTTTTCTGTCAGTATCTGTCTGTGTCCTTTTCTCACTCTCACTCACTTTTTATCTCTGTGGTGTCTCTCTTTTTCTCTCTCTCTCTCTCTCGTTCTCTCTCTGTCTGTCAATTTAGATCTCCAACTCCCTCTGCGTCTGTCTGTCCGTTTCACTCTCACTGTCTGTCTCGCACTGTCTCTGTCTCTCTTTCTCTTACTAATTTGATCTCTGTCTTTCTGTGTGTCTTTTTTTATCTCTTTTCTCTCTCTGTGTCTCTGTCTCTCTCAGTCTTTCCTATCTCTCTAAGTCTCTCTTTCTTCATCTCCCTCCGTCTCTTTCTCTGTCTCCCTCACTTTCTCTCTCCCTCCCTCTCTACTCTACCTCTCTATCTTCCTGTCTCTGATTTATTCCATTCCTCTCTCTATTTCTGTTTCTCATCACTCTCTCTCTTTTGCTCTCTCTGGCTCTAAATCTCTATCACGCTTTTGCTCCCTCTCTCTCTATCTCATCCAATGGGTATAACAGATAGTATGTGTTTTGCTCTCTCCTCTCTCTCTCTCTCTTTCTGTCTCTCTCTATTCTTTTCTGACATTTGTGCTGTTGTTTGTGTATCTGGATCTCCTGGTCTTCATGACAGTTGTCACATCAGCGCCATCCAGTCAGATTGAGATTGTCAGAGTGCTGGGGTGAGGAGGAATTGGGAGGGAGATGGGAATATGTTATGAGGCTGGAATGCACAAATCTCACACATTCTCTCCAGAAATCAGATGTGTTGTCACCTGTATCGCCAGAGCGATGCTGTGGCCTTGACACAAAACTGCTCTCACGCGTACTGGCCCTTCCTTCCTCTTTCCCAACAAGGCAATGAACTCCGGGCTCTCAACCATGTTCTGTTTCAGTAAAACACTTTTAATGTCACGTGTAACGTTGGATTAACCCCTTGAGCTGCTAGCCTCGTTCAGAAAATACACTCAGACACGAGCCAGTTTGAGGCTCAGTCACTGATTTGCTAAACCACCCAGTCCAACGGATTGGCTCATCAGTGAGGCTGTCACAAAGTCCTGATTTTTTGGTACAAAAAACTTGGGGCCACAGTTTGTGGTGTTGGTGGAGTCAGTTCAAGTACCTACAGTGACGATGTGCTCCCAATTGGACCATCTAATTGTCTATCAACCAGCTCCATACTCCCATTGGATTATCTGCCTGTCATCAACCGATCTCGCACAGGAAAGGTTGATGAACAGTCGGGTGGTCCAATGGTGGGGCGGGTGAATGGACAGTTGGATGAGGCAATGGTGGTGTGCACTCACTCTGGCCATTAAAAGTTGCATCAACTTAAAAAGTTGTATCGTGCATACGTTGCGTCTCGGCAACAAAATCGTGGGCCACGATTTTCTGACAGCCTTCCTGGTGATTGGCTCCTTGATGTTTTACCATCTGTTATCCCCACTGGACAAGAAACTTCCACCAGGAGCCTATTCGCTGCTCAATTGGGATCTCGTTCTTCCTATCTTCCTTTTGGGCATTTGCTGGAAGAACGTCGCAGGCCTCAAGGGGTTAATCGCTTTCCATTTCTCATAAGAAGCGTGCGTACTGTAGTGTGGTTTTGTGATTTTTTTCTGTATGCGTCAGCCCCCGACTCAGACCCCCACCCCCGCCTCCCTCCCCCCCCCCCCACCCAACCACCCGCCAGTACATCAGCTGCCACTTCCCTCCACTCTCTAAAACCCAACTCTCTCCAGCAAAGCCAAGGGGTGATTCAGTTCATGCCACGGGTCCAGAGGCGGGTCAGTCCCTGTACGATGAGGGCTGGGCAAAGCAGGTCAGTAATGCCTCAGGCACGGGAGAGGCAATTGATCCCGGGAGGTGGAGATTTCCAGGTTTGGGAGCCACTTGTGTGCGTGCGCGTGGGTAGGGGAATGGGGCGCGGAGACATTGGCCTTAACCTGTTCACCCACCTTCAGAGACACACAAGAGGACCTGATATTAAATGGAGTTTGGGCAAGTCTACCCACGACAGAGTGGGTGTGAGTTACCACCACAGGACGGCTCAAAGGAGCAGGTCACTGGCATCAGCCTTCCTCTGTCTCTAACCCGAGCTGTGGCTGACCTGGGAGTGCGGACGCACAGTGTAGAGGGAGCTTTACTGTGTCTCTAACCCATGCTGTCGCTGATCTGAAATTCCCATTTTTGGTCCAAATATCCAGCACTTTGATCCGTTCGTAAAATGAAAAGTATTAGCCTCCCCGCCCCACCCCCCACCCCCTCCCCTGGGCGGGGTCTCAGTCGGGTCGGTCTCTGCGATGGTTTGGAAACTGCTGTCATGTATTTTGAATTATGTGTGAGGATCTCTTGTCTGTGCGCACTGAGTGTCTGTATTTGAATGTGAACGACTGCGCGTGTGTGTGAGTGAATGAGTCTGCATGCGTGAATACGTCTGCACAGGTGCAGCTGCATGTCTGCACATGTGCGTCTGCCTGTCTGCATGAGTGTGTGTGTGTTTGTGTGTGTGGGGGTGGATGGATGTGTGGTTATGTCTGTGTGCGTGTGTATGAGTATGCGTGTGTATGTTTGCGTGAGTCCATGTGATTATGTAAGCGTGTGCCTGTACATGTAGGTACGTGTATGTGGTAAATGTGCGTTTGTGTATATGGGTATGTGTGGAAGTGTGTGCATATGTATGTGGGTGTACGCATGTTTATATGTGAGTGCATATGCGGATTTGTGTGTGTGTATGTATGTGTGTGTGCATACGTATTCGTGTACCTGGGTACATGTGTCAGTGCACATTGGTGTGTGTGTGTGTGTGTGTATGTGTGTGTACATGAGCTTGGGTACATGTGTATTTGTGTGAGTGGGTTCATGTGCACCTGAGCGAGTGAGTTGCGAGGGTTGTGTGCTCACTGGTGTATCTGCCCTCACTAACGGTGGGTGCGGGGGTGAGGAAGGGGTTCAGTGTGAGGGCAGGTACCCAGCCTGGCACCGTCCACAGCTGGAACCTTATACCCGGACTCCCTTGGGAAGGAGGCATTGAGATCCCAAGATCCCGTATGGTAATGATAATCCTGAAATCCCAGCGCGAAGACAGGTAAATACCCCTTAAAGGGGTTGGTTCGGCATATCGGTAAGTCTCATTTAGTTCAGTTTGAAAGTCCAGGGCTGCACTTCCCTTTAACTGGAGAGAAACATGGGGATCGTTCACTTGTCCCAATTTGAAAGCGGGAAGTCATTCAGAGCCTCTTACTTTAATTTGCTCTGAGATCGTAATCCTTACATTTGATATCCTGCCTTTGTTTGCATTGTCGAGGTCTTGAAGCTCGTCATAGGATTTTACTGTGA